AAGAAAGTGTCCAAAAATTCAAGGAGAACAACCCCGAACTTAGTGATGAGCTGATAAGGGTGAGCTGGAACTTCTTTGAAGCGGATCGATTATATATTCGCGACTACTCTCCCGAGATTAATCAACCGGACGATGAAACGGCTAATCCTCTCTACGACAGATTCCAGATGGAACACGCAGGAAAGAATGCGAGTCTCCTTGTAACTACGCATGCCCAGCTGAGGATTCTTTCGCAACGGGAACAGTACCTTCCACGTAAAAGGATTGTCTGGATAGATGATCCCGATGTTGCTGATGTTATCGATATAGAGCGATATGACCCAGTTCGGTGGCGTGAAATAGAGGAGGAAAATCTGGAGTATAAAACTAAAACCATCAACGCCAGACAATACTACGAAAGACCTCCTAATCAATCTTTGGGCTTCAATCAGAGAAAACACACGTGCATATACACGACGACTGAGTCCGTAACCCTGAAGGCAATCGAGAAATTACTAACTGATAGAAACGAAGAGTATGTGCTTCACGACAAGATGAATCGTCTTGCTGGTGGCCAAATAACGATTCTCGGCACCTCAAAGGTTCGCAGGAAGGAGGATGGCATCATCCCGATAATCTCTCGTTTGCTACAAAAACAAGGATATAACAACATTCTCATTGCTAATGGACTGGCGGCACCGCTCAACCACAGTAACAACAAAGGCAATAACCAGTTAAGCGAAACCACTATTCTTGTCGAATTGAGCATTCCACATCCGGATGAGGTACGAACCTATTGCGATGCGTTAGGGATGCATTTTGGCAAAGACAGCAATGAGATGGGCCGCATGCTGGTATTGGATCGTATGCATCAAGCGATCGGACGCAACAGTGGATATAGATCGAAGGGCTACGAGTGTGTCGTGCTCGTTGACAGTTCTTATCACCGGCATCTCGTGAATAATGTTCGATACGCGATTGATAAGAAGAACAGTGTTCTCATTGATAGAACAGCGGATATGAGTCGAAAAGATCGCCGGACAACGGCGGCGGCATCAGATTTCGTTGCCGCAACAGAGTCCTTGCTACTGACTGTGGATCAACTGGTCTCTGATACGCGGAAGACAAAGCCTGCGATCAAGCACGTGGTAAACAGTATCGATGACCGAGATAAACGTGAGGCTTATATCGCACGGTTGCTCGCGTCGTTGGCCTCACACTCAGGCAAGAACATGTGGGGAAGTGAGCAACCGGAAGTCCCCGAAAACAGGCTGCAGGAGCAGTATTACGCCTTGGGGAATTGGATTTTGGGCAACTTTGTTTCCAAGGAACGCCTAAAACACATACTCAGCGAGTATCGAAAAATTCTGCTCTTCTAAGCGTTTCTTTACTAACTTACTGATTCTAAACAATATTCTTGTTCCTCTCTACGAATATATATAGACAAAATACAAAAAAACCAATAAAAACAATGGGATAAAGAGAAAAACCTAAAACCAGATTACGTGATATTTGACCTTTCGTAGCCCAACCCCGGTTCAGAACGTTTCAGCAAAGGATATAAGCAAGTATTCGGCTTATAAAGAGCCGAAAATGCCCTGTATCCCCGCGCAGAGGCGAAAAATAGAGCCAATTCTCTTGCAGCAAAACACCTGTCGGAAACCTATCTCGGCTGCGCTGTTAAGGGTTATATGATTTAGATTAAATGTACTGTAGATTACAGCACATTCGGTACCGCCTCTTGAGGACTCGCCATGCCTGGCGCCAAAACGGCCACCCTGACTTTCCGTATGGATCCGGATTTGAAAGAGGCGCTGCGCTTAGCCGCTGAGCGTGGAGGCTCGGGATGGGTTGCACAGCGGGTTCTGCACAAACGCCTGATTGAAGCGTACGCCTTCAGCAGCCAATGCATCGAGATTCGGCGTGGCGGCGCTGGCGTACTGTTGGCGTGGATCCGAAATCAGATAGGATCCCAGTGCGAGGTTCAAGTCATCTACAATAATAAACAGTACGTTAGGCGGATCGCCAATGTCCACTGCGCGTAGCGGCGCTGCGGACTGCAACAGCATAGTTGAATCGTTGTGCGGGTTTGCTGCTGCCCATGGTCCGACCACCGCGGCCAGGGTGCACAGTAGCGCTAATTGTATAGACCATTTCATATTTGACTGTTCAATCTATCATCGAGATGGTTGGCAGGTTCAATTAAGCCGTATGGCAGCGTCATAAAATCCCTAATCGATCTTGTTCTTCATGAAGAAAGCCGACGAGAATATCTGTAAGATTCTCGAGTACGCGTTTGTCTTTGATGGGGTATGGACCTGGGCCGAAAAGCACCATATGGGTAAGCGTGGCAAACACCACTCGTACCGCAAGTTCCAGTTTTTTGCGCAGTTCTTTACTGTCTGGCAGTTCGCCTCGACTAACGAGAACCTGCATCAGCCGGTCGGCAGCATAAACAAGGTTCGCCTTTCGGGCATCTGCGACCTTCGGATTCTTCAGGGCCAGTTCAACCTGTGCCTTGATGAAGCCTGTGTTGGCAAACATGAACTTCCTGGAACGATTTACAAACCCGCGAAAAATATCCGCAGTTGTATCTGTATCCCGGGCGTCGGTGATCATATCAAATCGGGCCCGTGACCCACTGAAATGGCGGTGCTGCAGCGTGAAAAACAGCCCTTCTTTGTCGGTGAAACGCTTATAGAAAATGCCAACAGAACATCCTGCTAGACCGGTAATGTCCACAATATTCGTGTCGCGATAACCCTTTTCCGAGAACACCACAAAAGCGGCTTCCAGTATACGTTCGCACATATCCCTGGAGCGTTTCTGTGTTGCACTTTTCAGCCATCCTTCCTCGGCCGCCACCTTAAGATAATCAGACTGTTCCATGGCATTCATCCCTTGTTTCTTAAAAGCGGGGCAGTTTACAGGAGCAAAGCGGCCGTATGTATCCTGCCTATATAGCTACATAGTGTTCAATGTTGGCCAATACCAGATAGGCGAAGACCATGCCCGCTCCTGAGTGCGCGCTGGTATGTCCGGTCGTGGAGGCACGCCTGCGCGAATCGCGTCCCAGGTTGACCAGCGACATGTCGGTACCTGCAGCACTCGAGCGTAGTAAAAAGCGCGCTGTTGGTAATCAAAGTCGGGGTCCTGCCAGAATGTTCTCAGCTCCGCAGCACCGCCATGTCCGTGCCGTTCGCATACAGAGATATCGATGCCGCTATCTGAAGTGCAGCGAAAGTTAGGACCTGCGGGTTTTGTGCCGTCTGCACAGGCGATATCAAACACCTGTTCATGAACGGTTCCGCCGTCTGTCCAGCCTTTTACTATCTGAACTCGCTCTAACGGTGCTGCTGCCGCATCTTGAATCGCCCAGACAAAAAACTGCGGCGAAGTGTTGGTGTTTGCGGCGCCAAGATCTCCGCCCATAGGTACACCAAGGGCGTAAGCCTGCGCAGTACTATTTTCCAGCTGCTCTATGGATGGATCCAACTCATGGCCAGCAAACATCCGCAACCTGATGCGTGGACCGCTGGTAGCGAATGTCTCTTTGCGTCTGAAAGCTTTGAACAGCGCGCTACGTGTATTCTCCTCCGCCCAGACTCCAGCCAGCTCCGACGCACTCCAGAAGCGTCGCACCGAGTCCGCGTAAATGTTGCTGTCCGGATCAGGAACAGAGCCGCGCTGTTCGGCTTCCACATCGAGCAGGCCACTCTTACTCCAGTAGTTTTCTTCCTCGAAACTCCCTGCCGCATTGTGTGTATCTGAAGAACCTATGAGGCCGAAGCGGTAAGGGTTGCCTTCAAGTGTTCTGGAAAGCGCCAGCCCGTTCAGGTAGGCCTCACGTGCATAGCCACCGCTGGGTTGTGCCAGAACGCCGGATCCGATGGTGTAGTTCATTATCTCGAAACCTGCCCATTCGTCATTCGGTGACAGCAGGGGATGAGTTTCTGATGTGCCCTTGACCTGCGTGACCTCCACCAGCGGTTCATTGCGCATGCGTTTTTCCGCGTATACCTGATCAATTGCGTTGCCGGAGCGGTCTGTTAACTCAAACATCCAGCCGTCAGAGCCGTTGCTATTGTGGGGAATCGCAAGGGTGTCGATACCTTGCGTGCGCAAGGTATCCATCCAGTCCCATAGCAGCTCAGGGTTGTTGTCACCGTCGAGTCTGCTGAAGGGCAGTGGCGGTGCATCCGAACCGGCAAAAATCACATTGCGATGCAGGTTCTGACCGCGCCGTCCGCCTGCCGTGAACTCGTAACCTATGAAGGTTGTGAAACTGCCTGGTTCATTGTGCCTCTCAGCTGCAGCAATGATTTCAGCCCACGCTGTACGTACAACGTCAAGGTCAAGCAGGTCGTCTTCAAAGTCAATGTAACCCCGTTCGCGAGGCAGTAATTCATCGTAAACCAGACTGCGCGCGGCGGGGGAGTTGGCATTTCGCAGAGCGATAGAGAGCGGGTGTTGGCCCACGCTGGACGCGGAATTGTCCATTTCCGGGAGCATGCCGAGATAAGTAGCGTGATCGGTTACAGCAAGGAAGTCTAAGGGGCGATCCAGTTGCATACGCATACCGGAAGCATGCTCCAAAGCGCGACCTTTGACGTAGCGGTAGGCGTCGTCCGGGTCAGCCCGGGTGCCAAAAATGAAGGCATCAAAAGAATACTTGGTGTGGACGTGCAGGTCGCCGAAGAAAGCCTTGCGCTCAGGAGTGATTGATGCGGATGCGGCAGCGCTTTGCAGGCATAAAGTCATGCAAATGATCAAGGCGCGGAAAAAATCAACGGTTAGTTGCATTGCCTGTCTCGTAAATCTCGCTGAGATCATTGTAGTGGGTCGCGGATTAAAGTGAAATAAAGTTCACATTTATTGTTGAAAACATGAAAAGATGTTCACATAATGGCCTCGGTGTCCTGCTGGCCGTCCCGCAGGTCTTTTCATGGGGAATATCTGGGGAGTTAGATATGGAGACAAAACAATATTCTGCCTTGCGGCTGCGAAAGTTTCTTTTCGTGATGGTGATGGGAGCGCAAGGATCAAGAGGATCATTCTCTGGCCGCATCGGCGGCCGCATCGGCGCGGTGTTGGTTGCGATTGTTATGAGCGGAGCGGCGCACGCAGCAGACAGCGTCGGCGCTGAATCGGCCAAAGCCAAATCAAATTCACTCATCGAGGAAATGGTGGTCACCGCGCGAAAACGCAGCGAGCGCCTGCAGGATGTGCCTGCATCCGCCGCGTCCTTAAGTTCCGGTTTCATCGATGATGTGGGCGGGGTCTCTAACCTGCGGGACATCACCGACCTGGTTGTCGGTATCAGCATCAACGAGACCCAGGACGCATCGCTTATCGAGCCGACCATTCGCGGTGCCGGTCAAGCCCGGAATCGTGTCTCGGTCTCCGCCACCGGCCTCTACCGTAACGGCGCCTACTTCGCCACCAACAGTCTCGGTGGCAAGAATTTCGCCCGCCTGGACACCTACGATCTGGAACGGGTCGAAGTGCTGCGGGGACCTCAGGGCGCATTGTATGGCCGCAACGCGCTCGGCGGCTCCATGAACATGATCAGCAAGAAGCCCACTGATCAGTTCGAGATCGATCTTGGTGTGTCGCTCGGAGAAAAGGACCTGCAGCGTTACGAAGGGAAGCTCAATCTCCCCATTACCGACCAGTTCGCCATCCGCGCCAGCCACCTCTACGAAGACCGCGACAAGGGTTTTTACAACGACGTCAACGGCGATGATGTGGATCCAGAGAACTTCAACCACACCCGGATCTCGTTGCGTTATCAGCCCAGTGAACAATGGGGTATCAACTATGTCTTCGACACCCAGAAAGAAGAGCTCGGTACTGCGGTTTGGGTGCGATCGACGCTGACCCCTGATCTGGATGATGCCTTCGACACCCCGATCAATACGCCGAACCAGTGGGACAACGACGTGGACAACCACAACTTGGTCATCGACTGGACGCTCGGTGGCGGCGTGCTGACCAGCGTCAGCAACTACCGGGAACGGCAAATCACCCACTCGCAGGACTGGGACCACTTTTTCCCCGCTCCGTTGAACGGGCTCCTCCGAGAGACCGTTACCCGGGTCGACAACGAGATCTTCTTCCAGGAAATCCGCTATGTGGCCGATGGCAGCGCCAACTTCAATTGGCTGGTGGGCGTCGATTACTTCAGTCATGACAACGCGGAACGCGGCGACCAATGGGGCGGACAGCTCTTTGCCAACGCGTTTATGCGCACCTTGACTATGTCCGCCGATTCCTGGGCAGCGTTCGGCGTGGCCGAATACACCTTCGATTCGATTCCACTGACCGTGACCGGTGAACTGCGCTACGCCGAGGACAAAATCGAAGGCGGCGTGGTGGCCTACCGGGTCCGCGATCAGCCCGGCGTGCCGGACAGGAACAATCCGGTCAATCCCGAGACGGATTTCTTCAGCGACGACAAATTCACCAATCTGCCCTGGGCCGTGACCGCCGCCTACCGCTTCCCGGAACGAGATCTCATGAGCTACGTCAAGATCGCCTCGTCCTATCGCCAGGGCGGAATCAACGATTTCGCAGGATCTCCCGGTCTGGAGCGCTTTCCCACCAGCTTGACGTATGGTGAAGAAACTTCCATGACCTACGAGCTTGGTCTCAAATCGAGCTGGTTCGACCGGGCGCTGAGCGTCAACGCAGCCGTCTACTACACGGAATACCAGGACTTCCTAAACACCTCCGACAACGGCTGCCCGAGCGACTGCCAGCTGGTGGACGTCAACGGCAACGGACTCGGCTTCAACCCGGACGGCAGCCGGGTGGGCGAAGACGCCAACGGCTTGCCCATTCCGCCCAACGAAGAGGTACCGACGGCGTTTTTCATCGATAACGTGGGCAAAGCAGATGCCTGGGGATTCGAGATCGAAGGCACCTATCGCGCTCAGTTCGACTTCGGCGGCACCCTGCTGCTGAATCTCGGCTATGCGAAGGGTAAGGGTGAAGTGAAGAGTCTCGGCGACAACGTGTCCGCGGCCACCGCTGCGGATGCAGATGGCGCGAAACTGCCCTTCCTGCGGCCTAATCAGATCAAAGGCTCGGCCGTGTACCGGCAGATGCTTGGTGGCTTGAGCAACGTGGCGGGCTTTGATGGCGCGGCGCTGGTCGGCAGCCTGACCTACACCTACGAGGAAGGTGGTCATGTAACTCTGACGAACACCGACCCGACTGCGCAGGACACGGTGAAGCGTTTAGGCGCGCGCATCGGCCTGGAGACCAACAGCTGGTCGTTTTTCATCAACGGCGACAACTTGACCGACTACTCTTACAAGACCTTCAATGCCCCCGATTTTGGCTTCTACACTCGCAACACACCCAGATACATCTATGGGGAGTTCATGCTGAGGCTGAGACCCTAGGAGTACCTGGCTTGGACAGACACCAGCGCTTAAAGCGAAGACTTTGAATCCATACAGGCTCACGACTCTCGCAGTGGCGGCGTTTGCCGCCACTTTGTCGCTGGCAGTACTCGCCGGCGATGCGCCCAATCCAATGGTAGACGGCCTGATGAAAGGCGACCTGAATGCTGATGGGGTGCTGACCGAAGATGAAGTGCTGCCTGGGATTTTCTCATTGCTGGATACCAACAATGACGGTCGCGCCGAACGTGCTGAAGTGGAAGCCCTTTACTACAGAACCATGAATGCGGCTGGATCGAATCAACGGCACATGAAACCCGCGCACGGATCAGAAGAACTAAATCGGTGCACCGGGTCCGAACGCATTCATTGCACTGTTGCAGAGCAGGCGCGAGAATGGCGAAACGCAAGGCGTGGACCTGCATAAGTGAGGCAGCGGGAGCATGCGTAAGATTGCACCTAAAGAAGGGAGAACTATTAAATGTCGAATACACGCCTGCTGATGTTGAGCGCTGTGGGAGCTCTTCTGATGTCGGCCGCCCAGGCTGCCGAAATCCGCACCAGCGCACCCGAGCGGCAAGGAATGTCCGAAGAGCGTCTACAGCAAGTGGAGGAGCTGAACCGACGCTACACGGATAGCGGAAAAATCGCCGGTATCCTGACTGCGGTGGTCAGAAACGGCAGGATCGTGCACCAGAGTGCGGCTGGTGTGAAGGGTGTGGATGATCAGCGCACCATCCAGATGGACGATCTGTTTCGTATCCACTCCATGACCAAACCCATCACCGCTACCGCTGCGATGCAACTCTATGAGCAGGGTAAGTTTCAGCTTACCGATCCGGTTTCGAAATTCGTTCCTGAGCTGGCAAACCTCAACGTGTATGAAGACGGCGAGTTGAGGCCGGCGGCACGAGGGATGACCATGCAACAACTGCTCAACCACACGGCCGGGTTTTCTTACGGCTTTGACCCGACTCATCCGGTCGACAAGATGTACGTCGAGGCGGACTTGTGGGGCGCGAAAGACCTGGACGACTTTATCGCCAGGCTTGCCCAACTGCCGCTGATGTTCGAGCCCGGTGAACGCTGGCAGTACTCGGTGGCGGTGGACGTAACCGGCTTAGTGGTGCAACGGTTGAGCGGTCAGCCGTTTGATGAATACCTCAAGGAGCACATATTCGAACCCCTGGATATGGTGGATACCTCATTCAGCGTGCCTGCAGACAAGGCGCATCGATTTCTGCCGAACCATCTCCTCAACCAGGAAGGGGAGGCGGTCGCGATGCAAGGCGCCGAAGAATTGATGCCGCAGGCACCAAGGATACTGAAAAACTGCAAGGCCTTGTGCGACTATGAGAACGTGACACTGTTTTCCGGTGGTGCTGGCCTCGTCTCTACATTAAGGGATTACGTGCGCTATGCCGAAGCTATGCGAGACGGAGAACTAGACGGTGTGCGGATCCTCAGCCCGAAGACGGTGAATTACATGCGCGTGAATCACCTGCCGCCCAACGTCGGGGGTGGTGGCAGTGGCGAACAACCTAACCTGGCGGGGGATGCGCTCATGGGTTTCGGTTTTGGACTCGGCTTTGGCTTGGTGACCAGCACCACTGAGCAGGGTGTAATCGGCAGCGTCGGTCAGTACTACTGGGGCGGCGCCTCCGGAACGGTATTTTGGATCGATCCGGTGGAGAACATGGTGGTAGTCAGCATGATGCAACTCTTGGGCGGCTGGCGGTCCTACCGTCCGGAGCTCCGGGTGGCCACCTATCAGGCGCTGCTGGAATCTTATGAGTAACCCTCGGCAACATCGAGAAAACCCGGTGATACACCGGTGCGCAAGTACCACAGGAACGGGCATTTTATACCTTACCTTGGTTACGAATGGACGATCTCAAATCCTCAGGGTGGTCACCATAACGTACTCTTCCGCACGCCGGAAGGCCGTTCAACAGTGCCTGGGACAATGTTTCCAACATTGTCACGACTGTATGCGGGCTTGCGCGCGGCCAACGATCCGCAGGATATTGTGGTTATTCCAAATGCCGACAACACAGGCGATTACCGACAGTCTGATCCGGAATTGGAGCCGCTGGTTGAGATCATGTCGATGCATGGCAATTTCGAGTGGTTTGGTCGCATGTACCTGAAACATGGCCACCAGGTTGGTTTTGTTGCTGCATCGGATGATCACCTTGCCAAGCCCGGATACTCAATTCCCTGGCGCGATACATTGGCTCAAAAGGGCGGTCTGGCTGGTGTCTGGGCTGGCGCGCGGACCAACGACGAGATCTTCGATGCCATGCGTGGTCTGTCTACCTATGCCAGCAGCGGCGATCGCATGCTCCTTGATTTCAAAGTTAACGATGCGCATATGGGGCAGAGAACGCCATATACGGATGAGCGCCTGATACACGGGCGAGTAGTGGGTACGGCACCGATTCGCAACATCACCGTGCTGAAAAACGACCGTGTTTTGTGGTCTGAGAATTATGATCAGATAGCGGAGTCTGAAGGTGCACACGAGCATCTGGCTTTGTCTTTCAGTTCACAGTCGCACCCAGGTGAAGTTTCCGACAACCCTCGTGGATGGCGTCATTGGCACGGTGTTCTTCGTGTGCAAGGCGCAGAGGTGGTAACGGCTCAACTGGTTGATGAACACAATCGCAATACCCAGAAACTTCAGCGAGATGAAAAAAACGCGAATCACTTTTACTTCAAGACACAAAGTCGTGGTGATCACAGTTCGATTGCCTTAACCCTGCGCAATGTAAGTTCTGATGGGCACCTCTTGTTAGAACTGGACGCTACTACAGAAACAGGTAGCGCTCCCCCATTCCTGCGAGCGCCTAAAACGATTCCGGGTCAAGAGGTGACGCTGAGATTGTCTGATCTGAAATCGGGGACGCTACAGCATCCCATGCCTGTTGACAGCTTTGCTGACGCCGTAGAACTCACTCGCACGAATCCGGCTGCACCACTGAACGTGGAATTTGAGTTTAATGACGATACTGCGGCAGGACACGGAGACTACTATTTCATGCGGGTTCGTCAGGCCAACGAAGCCATGGGTTGGTCCAGCCCGATCTGGGTCGGCGGTCATCCGACGCGTTAGTACATCGAATGCTTATGGAATCACGCAAACATCATTCGCTGCGGCATCTCTGCTGCTGTCTTTGGCCCCTCAGTGGCAGTGTTCTGTCTGCCTGCGTTTTTGCTGCTGAGCCGGAAGATATCTCGATATCCCGATTAGGTGATGGTCCCATCATCTCTCCCGAAACGTACGAAAGCATCGGCAACAATATCCAAGGGCCATCCCTGATTAAAGTGCCCAACTGGGTAGAGGAACCACTGGGTGCCTATTATCTGTATTTTGCAGATCACCGCGGTGACTATATTCGCATGGCTTACGCTGACGCCATTACGGGACCGTGGACTGTCTATGCGCCGGGGACTCTGGGGCTGGAAGACTCTTACTTTCCCACTACCTGCCCACCATGCTCACAAGCACCGGGCAGTGATGCGCCTGTTTATGCGCACATTGCCTCACCTGATGTCCACGTGCGCCACGACCTTAAAAAGATCGTTATGTACCTCCACGGTAGAGATGATGGCAGGCAGTTGACGAGGCTGGCGCTATCTAATGATGGTATTCATTTTGTGGGCGATCCGACGGTGTTGGGCCGGCCCTATTTTCGGGTTATTCATCATGACAATTACTACTACGCATTGAGCATACCTGGTTATCTGTACCGTTCGCGTGATGGCTTAAGCAACTTTGCAGCGGGCCCACGTTTCTTTTCGGACGCGATGCGTCATTCGGCATTGTTGATTCACAATGGACTTTTGTATGTGTTTTTTAGCCGAAGGGGAGATGCGCCTGAACAGATTCTGCTTGCCACTATTGAGCTCGAGGGAGACTGGCTTGACTGGCAGGCAACAGAGCCGGTTGAAGTTCTGCGGCCTTAAATGGAATGGGAAGGCGCTAACTTGCCAATCAGAGCTTCAAAAGCCGGATATACAGGTGTGCCCGTCAACCAGCTACGAGACCCAGCGATCTATCAGGAAGCTGGCGAAACCTTTTTGTTGTATTCAGCAGCTGGTGAGAGTGGTATCGCTATTGCGCAGATTGAGTTCGAGTGATGACGTTGTTCAAAATGAGTAGAAACGGTTACGCGATTTAACAGATGAGCAACAACAACCAATGGGGTGACGATGAACAAGCAGACCATATTAATAGTTATTGCCATGATGGTGGCCGGTTGCGGCGAAGGTTTTCATGAAGAAGTAGAGGCGGCTCAGTCGAACTCCAGCGACAGAGCAATGGCGGAGCTCGAAGATGGTCATGATGTAGCGCCGCGACCGCGGCCGGAACTGTTTGATACAGCACTTGATACCACGCCGGTCAACCCGGAGTACAGTGCCACCAGACAGGCATTGTTTGGCGATTTACATGTGCATACTCGATACAGTTTTGATGCATTTGCTTTCGGCACCATCGCAACGGCAGGTGACGCCTACCGTTATGCCAAAGGTGAAGCTATTCAACATCCTGCGGGCTTTGATATGCAGCTCAAAGCGCCTTTGGATTTTTATGGGGTGACAGACCACGCTATGTTTCTTGGTGCGATAGCACAGGCAGCTGACACCCGTACAGAGTTTGCAAAACTGGCCATGTCAAAGCCGTTTCATGATTTGAACCGGGCCGAAAACATGTCTACCGACAGTTCAGCTGAGCGGCGCGAGCGATTCTCAACCTTTATTCCAAACACAATCCAGGGCGTAAATGATGGCACCATCAGTCGAGATCTGATCAACGGTATCGCTCGTTCGGCGTGGAGAAACATTATAGACGCGGCGGAACAGCACAATGATCCAGGCCAATTCACCACATTCGTTGGGTATGAATACACGAGCACAACGGATGAAGGGGGTAATCTGCACCGTAATGTGATCTTCCGTACCGGCGATCGTGTTCCGGAGATTCCGTTTTCACGGTT